GGCTTCCCTCTGCTGGTGGGGGCGGGGCTTCTCTGGAGTGGGGCTTCCCTCTGCTGCTGGGGGCAGGGCCTCCCTGGAGTGGGGCTTCCCCTGGTGCTGGGGGCGGGGCCTCCCTGGGATGGGGCTTCCCCTGCTGATGCTGGGGGCGTGGCTTCACTCAAGTGGGCGTAGCTTCCCACCTGGCTGTGGATTCCCGTTTAACTCTCGCTCTCTCCACCACTCCCCCACAGCCGTACCCCCCTGGCAACCCTCCCCCTGGGGTCCCCCCCCCGCAGATGCCCCCAGGAATCGCCATCCTGGAGCCGCGCCGGCCGCCCCACGACTACCTACCCATCGCAGTGCTCACCACCATCTGCTGCTTCTGGCCCACGGGCATCATCGCCATCATCAAAGCTGTGCAGGTCAGCGGGAGCGGGGCGGGGAGCAGTGGGGGACTGGGAATGGGGAGCGATGGGGACGGGGGCATGTGGGAGGTCGGGGGCGAGGGGGCAGCAGAGGGGAGCTGGGATATGTGGGGGGGCAGGAAGGATGGGGGGCGTGGGGGTGACGGGGGGCAGGGGTCGACGGGGGCAGGGGTCGACGGGGGAGGCGATGGGGAGCACAATGCGTCCCCCCCAATGCCGTGTCCCCCCCCAGGTGCGGACGGCCGTGGCGCGGGGGGACATCGTGTCGGCCGAGATCGCGTCGCGCGAGGCCCGGAACTTCTCCTTCATCAGCCTGGCCGTGGGCATCGCCGCTATGGTCCTGTGCACCATCCTCACTGTCGTCATCATCATCGCCGCGCAGCACCATGACAACGACTGGGACCCCTAGCCATGGGCCCGCCCCCTGCCAGTCCTGCCCAACGCCTGCCCTGCCTGCCAACCGGGCCCCGCCCAGCGACCAGGCCCCGCCCACCGCCTGCCCTGCCTGCCAACCGGGCCCCGCCCAGCGCCACAACAACAACTGGGACCCCTAGCCATGGGCTTGCCCCCTGCCGGCCCCGTCCACCGCCTGTCCTGCCCGCCAACCGCGCCCCACCCAGCACCACGACAATGACTGGAACCCCTAGCCCCGCCCCCAGCCACCCACCGCCCCCCCCCCCCCCCGCCCTGCCCGCCAGCCGGGCCCCGCCCAGCACCACAACAACGACTGGGACCCCTAGCCTCGGGCCCGCCCACCACCTGTCCTGCCTGCCAACCAGGCCCCGCCCAGCGACCAGGCCATGTCCACTACCGGCCCCGCCCCTCAATGAGGCCCTGCCCACTGCCGGCCCCGCCCACCAACCAGTCTGATAATCCCCTGCAGATGCCATTACCCACAATCCCCTGCAGCCATTGCCAACATTACCCACAATCCCTTGCAGCCAATGTTACCCACAATCCCTTGCAGACCTCACCCACCAGACCCACAGTCCCTGCAGGTATTGGCCCTCAGGATACCCATGAGGCCTTGCAAGCCCTGCTCTAGCCAGCGGCACCCACAATCCCCTGCAGCCACCACCCTCCTGGATACCCAGGAGCCTTTGCAGCCCCACCCTCTCCTGGCTCCGCCCCTGCAAAACCTGTCCCTGTCCCTCAGTCACCCCTGTATCCATGACAACACCTCCCTTGCCCAGCAGGACCTTTCCCATGATCCTTTGTAACCATTGCCCCCCATCGCTCCCCACTGGCATCTTTGGCTCCGCCCCCTCAGCAGCCCCACAGCCCCCCCAACTGAGCAATTCCCATAGTCCTTTGCAACTGTCATTTTCCCATCAGCACCTCTGGCTCTGGCCCCTAGGAACAAGCTCCGCCCCCAGCTTCACACCCTCCAATGGAATGCTACCCATAATGCTCTGCAGTCACTGTATTCTCCCCCCAACCCTGGGTCTGACTCCACTCCCACATGATTAGGCCATGCCCCATTGGCTCAGGCCACACCCCCTGGCTGGCCCTAAATATATTCCTGAGCTTCCCCATCAGACCACGCCCCTTCATATCAGGCTCCGCCCCCTCACCCCCCCCCAATATCTTCATGCCTTGATTGCTCCCCCAAAGCCCCAATTGGCTTCTCCCCAATTGGTTCCGCCTTCTTCAGCACAGGCTCTGCCCCCTTTCTTCCCCACAGCCCCTTCCCCATTTTGCTCCAGATTGGAGGGGGCGCGCATACCCCAATATATCACAGAGCCCCCAGCTGTACATAGCAATGAAATAACCCCCTTCCCAAGGTGTGACCCCAGCATGAGCCCCCCCAAATCTGTGACACTGGCCCTTTAAGACACACAGCCCCCCACAATGAGACCCCTCTTTTCCCACGCCCCCCCCAAGTGAGTGATGCCGCCCCTCTGGGACGCCACCTCTGCCCCCCCTATGGGGGGGTTCCTGGTTCAGGCGGACGGTGGGGGGCAGGGAGGGGAGAAGTTTGAGGGTCCAATGCTGCATTTCTGGGGTTCAGGGTGTTTGAAGTCTGGGGGCAGAATCACTGGGGTGGGGGAGACACTGTTCATTATTGGGGTCCCCCCAAGTCACCCCCACCCAGCACGCTGCCCCAAAGCCTAGACATCTGGGTATCCCTTGCAGAGACCCCAGAACGGGACAGGTGTGCTGGGCTAGTGGGGGGCTGCAGGTCGGGAGTGAGGGGCGCCGGCAGAGCTGGGGGGGGGTGCAGTTTTGTATGGTCCATCGTAGCCGCCCGACATGGCCCTGGTCCCTGTGCGATCCGGCCCCCGATTCCTCTCCCGTCGGCCTGTTTGCAAGTCACCTGGGTTAATAAAT